ACTTGTGACTCACCCAGCTAAGCAGGACATTCAGAACTGACCCCCAGGTTTGCAGGCAGCATGATTTTATTGTCTCTCCTGTTTCTATTGTTTCAACAGGTTCCCACAGCCAGCGTCACCATAGAAGGAGCTTCAGCCCTCAACCGTGTCCGCTGGGCCCAGGCTGGGAAGGAGGTAGCAGTTGGCGATTCAGAAGGCCGCATATGGATCTATGATGTTGGAGAGGTATTACTACTGTTTCATTGGGTTTTTTAAAGCTCTGCTTCTGGAGAATGCTGAAACTGAGTTTGAGAGAAGATTGTGTATCGTAACACATGAGTAGGATACCTCCAAAGAATAAGCCAGATTTCCTTCAGTGAAGTCCTTGTTGATTTTGGGTTGCCAACAGTGCGTTAGTCATAAAGTTACCTTGCAAAAGAGTTAACTAGTTGAAGTCTCATGAGAAAAGTCTTTTTTGAAAGTTTTGAGTGTTTTTAAAACCGTTTTTGTAATGGTTCTATTGGTACAGTTGGAAAAAGTTAAAAAGGAACATAAAGAGGAAAATGGAGGTGTGAAAAGAAGCTGTGTTGTTCAGGAGTTGGTCCTGAAGGGTTCACCTTTTATACTTCAGTATCTCTTATTTCATGACTGGCTTCATGCTGTAGATTTTTCTCAGCATGACATATACAGAATACATCTGTTCTTTTAATACACAATAATGCTGAATATGTCTGAATATGTGCAAAAGTACTAACAGCAGGAAATGAGAGGTGTCATTGTGCAGGATGGTAAGTGCATGTGTGATAAAGAGTATGTAGGTGCTGAGAAATAGCAGGATGCATATTCTGTGTCTAAGGCTGCTCTGAATTCACCCTGCTACATCTTAAAAAAACCATCTAAACTGCAGTGTGTTTGGCACTGATGGAATCTACCTCTTTGTTGATGAATACGCTATAAAATGTTCTGTCAGCATTACAATCCCTTGGAACAGTTAAGGGTGAATCTCTGAGCAATCAGCTTTTATGTAGAGAATTTGTTTTCCATCATTATCTGTGATAGGATACTGAGATATCCATCTCTACACAGTGGGGAAACATTATAGAATACATACAGAATTATCTGTAACTCTCATAAAGTGATTTTATGGCCCATAGCAAAATTGCTTGTGCATGACTCATGTTTTTGGATTGCATTTAGTTGTGCAGGAGTTGCCTTTCCTCACAAATGTCTGCTGAAACTTCTTGCCGTATTGTTAACATAATTTCTAAATTAGCTACGGTTACTGTGTTCAGATTTCCACTATGACACTGGCAGGTCAGGCTGTTCTTATTTATTTTTCATTTTTGCATGACTGTTTCAAAAAGTTGGTTTTTCTGTCTTCCAAGAGATACGACAGGCTGTGGAAATGTCTTTGATGACAGCACAGTCTGATCTTGTCTGAGAGTCTAGACAGACTGTAGAAATGTCTCTTTTTGCATATCATACACCAAATAGTGCATAGGATTGTTTATCCCTGCAAGCTCACCCAGGAGAAAATAGATTTAGTGTCCTATGCAGAAGTAGTAATATTTAAGTTTTTGGCCTTTCCTCTCTGTGTAATCAGACTTCAACTTGCAAAATGAGTCACAGTGATACACTTAGATCAAAAAGAAAGACAGGCTTCTATTACTTGAAAAGGAAAAAGAAAAGGGAGTCATTCAACCGTATTTATTTGTGCAAGTCCAGATCAGTGTTACATAAAGTGTTCTGCTTCACGGACGTTGCATGCCCTGCCCATGCAGAGCCCCAGCGTCTCCAGCTCAGCTCCACGCACACACAAACAGATGGATGTCCATCCACATGGCTTCTGACAGGTCATGGGCCGTTGCCACCCCTCCTCCTCTTCTGGAATGAATGAAGGAGCTCATTAATTTGTTATTTAATTAATTATTTTGTTGTCTGGTTCATTTTGGCAGTATCAGTCTCTGCAGTAATTCCTGTACCAAATTTAGGAGAGGTCTGGGCTGCAACAGCTTCAGATACTATCAAGGCTGTTGCCTTGGTGGTGGCTTTTTCTGGATTATAAAAGAAGGGCACGCCTATATTCTCCAGCACAACTCTTTTCACTATAAAGCCTTAAGTGAGATACAGAAATGCTTTGCAGCTTAAGAGCCTGGAACCAAGGGCTTATACAGTGACTAGCAGCCTTTTTGGTCATTAACCCTCTGTGCCAGCCCATAAAGAGCTCTCTGAGTTACTCGGTGCTTTGCTGTCCTGGGGTGTGAAGCATGGGGGATTCACAGCATGCACGTGCACTTTTGGAAGTGTCTAACATAAATATGGAGGCCTTTAAGGCTCTCTCTTTATTTCAGAGTGCAGATAGTTCCTTGGCTCAGCTGGGATCCATCCTTCTTTGACTGGCTTTTTTGTACGGGTCTGATTCTGGGATATGACAGGACTGGTCTGAGAGTTTAAAAGGGGCAGTCCTTCTCCTCCTGCCAGCCCTTGCCATGTCCCTCACTGCCCAGTTTTTGTGCAGGTAGCAGTGCTTGTCACCACCCACATTGTGGGGAGGGAGGTAGATCTGCAGAGATGCATTGATTCTTTTTGTTTGTTTGTTTTTGTTTGGTTTCCTTGGGATATTTTTCTCACTCAGAGTAGATGAGGGAGCATCTGGCTGGGGCAGGGGCCTGGGAGCTGGACCGTACAGCACCTGGCTTTCGTATTTGACCCAACAGTGCTGCAAAGCCTGACACTAAGCTGCCACAGTTGACCTTTCAGCAGTAGCACTCTACCCATCTCCTACAGCATCAACTTCTGAAAAGGCCTCATCACTGGGAGAACACATCCCTGCCTCACTGATAACTCAGTAATATCCGCTTCTTTGAAGGTGCAGATCTCTGATTTGGGAAGATGGGTGTGATTACTTGCATTAGAAAGTCAGCAGGCCACTTTACAAAGACCCTAAATACACTCACCAAAACCACAGAATCACAGAACGTTAGGGATTGGAAGGGACCTCAAAAGATCATCTAGTCCAACCCCCCTGCCATGGGCAGGCACACCTCCCACTAGACCAGACACCCATTAATGCTCCACTTTTACTGCACCTTTTTTAAAACCTTTCTTTTCTCATGACTATTCCAAATATCACATTAGATCAACTGTAAGTTCATAAAACATTGATTCCATCAGAAAAAAATGTGATTGTATTTGTATTATAATAAAGAACAGTGTCTTTGAATTTCACATTGAATTTCACAGTACTGTATAAGCAATTTTTCTTTCCTGGTTGAACAGACAGAATTGGCTCCATGAATTTTGATCAGAGCAGAAGACATCAGGACATCAATCATTAAGGAAAAAATTTAGGTGATAGGAATTTTTACTTTGGTAGATTCATCACAGTTTTAAGAACTATTCTAGAGAACAGTAAAGTTTACTGCTCCTGTTAACCCATATTTATGGTGTAAAGAGAAAACATTTTATGGCCTAAGTGAAAACATAAGACATGAGGCCTAACCTTGCATCCTGTGTGAAGGCAAGGAGTGTGAGATCAGGGCTGTTTGGGTTGTGTAAGGATTTAGGATTTGGCCCTGTCTGATACTTTTCCAGTCACAGTCTTTATGACACAAGAAACGGCAGAAAAACGAAGAACATGGCAGGGTCCATAACCGGGGAGTTAAAAATAATGGTGACATTTTCAGTTAGACTATCTAGTGTTGTCTCCTTAGAGTATGTACTTTTAGTTGTTTGATTTCAGCATCGTGTCTGAAAATAACTGAACACATTTATTTTCACAGTGAGGGGTCTATTTTCTCCTCAGTGCGTGTGCTTTATGCCCATTAGCATTAATGGGAGTTATACGCACACTTCCAGGGGAGAGGAGACTTAAATAGTCCATATAGATGTGCTCTTCTGGATCAGTAACCACTGATTTAAAGAATATGAGTTATAAAATGAAATAAAAACCCAAACAAACACACAAAAATCTAATTGTTTCAGTGTGATAGGATCCTAAACCTGTATAACTTAACCAGAGAATATAACCAGTCACTGTAAATACACGTAACCCTCTGTAAGACCTAAATATTCAAACCTTTGCTGGTCTAGTAGTTGAGATAGTATTATTGTGATAGTGTGTATAATGTATTTTAGCTTCTGTGGTCTTAAGGCTTATCTACTGGGGAGCAAGTTTTCTGTATGGTAAAAGTTGGTTTGAACAGAACATGACTGTAGATTATTCACATGTCCAGATGATTGATAGTTAGACCTAACTGGATGTCTCTTTTGTAGATATATTTTCTAGAAAGCTTGCTCCCATTGTGCATGCTTCAGTGATGTTACACAGTTGCCGCTGTCATAAATATTCTCTAACAACCATGTTTGTTGCTTACCTGGCTTATTGAGAATACCCCTTGCACCTTTGGTTGTGAAAGAAGCAGCTTCTCATCCACCTTCCATTATTCCTTTTTTTTTATCCATTAATCTCTTCCAGGTCATATTCCGCTTGCACTGTGAATAAATAGATAGAAACTGCAAATCAATGATTTATTATTTGATTGTAATAAAATATAAAGTAAGTTTGCAGCACAGGATTGGAGAGTTTGAAACTGTAATCACAAGGAGCTTATTACTGTACATTATGTTGTTAAACTAGTTACAGGACAAACTATTGCATCTGTTTGGCGGTCTTTCAAACAGTTTATCCTAGTCATACTTTTAAAGGGCAGCTCATATGACAGGTGGAACTGGAGAAAGGTAAGAAAAGGTCTTTCCTTAGACCATCCAGGAAGGCTGGCTCTGAAAAGGAAGCTGTTACCCGAGATTCTTTACATAGTTACTAGCTCTGTCCTTGTTTCCTTGAAGTGAAATCAGAATCATACTGATGTTTATGTGCCTTTGTTAGGTTTCAGAGTTTGTATCTTCTTTAGCCCTTTTAGGACTGCCGTGTTAGGTTGTTTCTGTACTTCCCCATTAGCTCCATGACAGGTGTTAATCCTGTATCTCATTTTCAAGTTCGTGACCACTGAGGGAGGAGCTTGTGACTGCCTGAAACGTGTGGATGGAGGGGTACAGCAAAGAATATCCTACTGGTGCCTGTGAAATTATTTCCTTTGATTTCAGCAGCCTTTAACGCTGCTTTGAGATTCTTAGGGTTCTAGACAGAGAGAAATGCATATTTGCGACCAACTCTCACATTTCAGCACGGCTATCAAATCACATTTTTTTGGGTAGAGTGAGGAAGGGTTGGTACTTTGTACTCC